GCCCATCAACGTCAAAACAGGAGGAAATGTGTGACGTGCATTTGTGCATGGCCACCGTTACAGAAACGACTCAGTGTTTTCCATTCCCTAATGCTGAGGGTCTCCAGTGAGCCGGGTGTGAGGTGTAGACACACACCTCACACAATGCAATCTGCTGCTCAGAGTCCTCGGGACGCAACCTGGTTTCCTCCACATTTCCAATGAGGAGCCTGAGCCCCAGGGATGAAGAGGAAGCTGAGGCGAGAATATTGCCTGCACCCCATGTGAGAGCACCCCTCCAAGGTGCCCACACACAACTCCTCTGCCAGGGAACGATGCTTGCCCACAGACAACAGCCACCCTCGGGGGCTTACAGGGTCCCACTGGCCTCCTTGCAGGCTGGGCCTCGAGTCACCCTAGAGGGAGAATGGTGCTGTGGAGGACTCAGCTTGTCTCTGTCCTTCCCACAGGACCCAGCAGGGAAGAGAAACAAGTTTGACCCTGGGCCTGCACTGGACTGTTTAGGACCAATGGCTGTGCAAGGCTTCCCGGGCAAAGAGTGGTTATGATCGGGCCAGCAGAGTGTTTCAGAATTAGGGCAAGCGGCGGGCATGGGCGGACACAGAGCGTCACAAGTGTTTTGCAAGACGAGGCATAAGCAAGTGTCATCGTGCTGCCTCAACTGCTGCATCTTAAACAGCTTTGACTTCAGGAGCAGCCAGGACGGAGACGGATGGAAAGTCCCCGCCATCCCCCTGAAGGACAGCGACTAGCATCCCGCTTCGAAAACCCATCTGTGCAGCAGTGACATTAACGCCTAAGAATGTTCTGGCAGGGATCCGGAGACAGCGAAACAGCAGCCATCAGGAAGGCACTCCCGGCTGAATGCAGGGCTGGAGGGTCTGCTGCCACCACAGAGGTGAGCAGTCTGCAGGCCAGCCAGGGCTCAGAAGAGGCCAGACTGACCGACACTGTCCTCCTCCCCACTAGCCCCTCAAGGTTCCCCTTCCCAGAAGGAATCTGTGAGGATGAGCTGAGCCCAGAAGTCACAACAGTGGATGGGAAGAAGGGAAGTCCTGTCTCTGGGTGAAGAACAGACGCCAGTGTGGTCCAGGGAGCAGCACTGGAATGAGTCATACGAGACCCTGTCTCCATCTCGCCCCTCACCCCGCCCCCGCCAACTGTCATTCGATGCGGGCACACCTCTCCCTTCTCTGGGCCTCAGGTTCTCCCACCTTCCAAATTCGGAGTGGGCGAGATGCCCTCCAAGGGGCCTTCACCTGTAACGTGAGGCGTCTGGGGCAGCTTGGGCGTGGCCTGTGATAACAAGTGAGGGACCACAAGACACAGAAGCTGAGATGCACGCGAGATCTATGCCAGAGACTGGCAAACCACGTCGCCCGAGTCTCCAGGGTCACAGGATGAAGCAATGTCAACTTTCTGAGGAAGCTCAGATGAATAAAAAAGAGCAGCTTTAGAGTGTAGGGATCTGACAAACACACGGCAGTCAGGGGCTCAAGCGCAAGATCAACAGGCTGTCCTGTCGACAGTGTGTGCCCTGATGTGACATGACGAGAGGGCGTTCACCTCTGTAACTGCAGCCTGACAATGAGAGCACATCGGACAAGTCCCAAGAGAGGGGCAGCCTACAAACTGTTGACCAGTGCCCCTGTGAACCGTCACGGTCATTGGAAACAAGGACAGCCGGAGGAGACACGGTGACAAAACGTGGTGGGTGTCCTGGGTGGGACCCTGGACCAGATCAAGGATGGTAGATACACACTGAGGAGCTCTGAACAACATGTGGACTGAAGAATAAATGTCAGTCTCAGTTCATTAACTATAACAGACATGCGACACTAATGTAAGATGTCATAACGGGGAAAGTGGGGAGAAGGAAACGCTGCACTGTCTCCACATTTTCTGTATAAATCTAGAACTGTTCTAAAAGATGAACTCTACCTTTAAGAAGAGCTAGGAGGAGTGGTGTCTAGGCAAATATTTACGCAAATACATGGCAGAGAAAGAGAGTGCTGATGTGAGGGACTGTCCCTGACCCTGAGACTCGACACATTCCCTGGGAACTCTGGAAGATTTCAGTTCCTTATGCAGCAGCGGACATGACTTCAGCTTGGAAGCGGCCTCATTGAGAATTTGGCAGGGAGGGAGGGACGGAGCATGTGTGACGAAAGTCACCAGAATGGCCTGGGACAGGGTTGCCGGCGGCAGCAGTGCAGGAGCTGTGCCTGCGAGGGGCTGTGCTCCAGGCACATGTCTGAGCCCTGAGAAGTGACGTGGGCACAATGGCTGGAAAGTCAGGTCTCCCAGGTGGGACAGCTGGCTCTATTCCGGCCTCTGACCGCCCTCAGCCGCGTGCTCCTGGGCAAATCCCCGGTCCCTCGGCTTTCTTATCTGTGAGATGGGTGCATGTGGGGTTGGACAGGCCAGGGTCAGCTTCCACATGTCACCGCTGGTAATGTGCCAGGCGTGAGGCTGCACCATCACACAGCCGTCCTTCAAGGATTTCATCACTGTCCCATTTTTTGATTAGGAAAACCAGGGCCCACAGAGGTCCCGTAACTGCCCACAGGGCCAGGAAGGGCCGAGCTGGCTCTGTGCTTTTGTCTGTCCCTAAATCCTATCTGTAACTATCTTGGCACTGTCCTCTCCCAGGGTCTGGCCACCCTGGCATTCCAGGAACCAGCACGCTCATTTCTTTAAAGGTATAGGCTGCCCGGCCAAGTTTCAACCCAGGTCTTACAGTACAGCTAAAAATGAGGCGTCTGCCCGCTCCCCTGTGTGGTGGGCACTGCCACCTTGGGAGAGCAGCTGTCTCACGTCTCTGTGACACCCGCCCCAAATACACTGCTCGGGCCAGCCCCCGGGGTTCCAGCTGACTGGCCCCTTTTGCCATCTTAACTAAGGTGACAGGCTTTCAGATGTTTTTAAAATTAAAGTGGTTTGTTTCTGTTCATCTGTTTTCCAGATGTCACTACCTAGAGGGAATCTGTCATTATTTATTGGCTCTTTCCTATGCAGAATCTATGGGAGTCTCTCTCCAACCAAGACCTCCACCAGGGAAGACCACATGTGGGGGTGACTTGAACCAGGAATGTGGGGTCCCTGGGAGCTCAGTATGGGGCCACAGTGCAAGCTGTGGAGTGGGGGTTGCGGCTAGGGGTTGCTGTCGGCCACGTGGCACATGAGCCGTGCAGATACTCGGCTCGCTCTCCACGGGACTGGGAGGCTGGGGATTTATGAGGGCGAGGCATCCTCCACGTGGCCGACAGCCTTGAGGAGACAGCACGCTCGCCTGTTAGCATGACACTGACAGCTGCCTGGGCAAGCTGCAGCCAGGTCCGGGATGACACCCAGGACTGTCCTACCTAGGCCCCCCTTCCCTGGGTGGTCGCTACAGCCTCTCTAGCCTGCCCCTACTCGCTTCCCACACCCTGGGCCTCTCCCATTATCCTCCAATGGCTGCCAGAAAAATCCATCAAATTCAAACCCGAGCAGGTGCCCCCGCCCTTGCTACTAACACTCTAGTTTCCTCTTTCCCAACAGGATGCAGTCCAAAGTCCTGGTCAGGCCTCAAGGCCCCTCCCAGGCCTGCCTCTGAAGCCCCACTTCCTCCTCTGCTCACTCTGAGTGGCCTCGAGGTCCCCAGCAAACAGCCACTCTCATGCCCCAGCTGTCACCTCTGCTGGCACTGGCCTCCGTCATCAACTCCTCCTGACGACCATCCTCCCCCCACACACACACACCCCCGGCCCCACACTGTCACCCTCTGTATACGGGCCCAGGTGCATGGGGGACAATGACGCTCATGCCGACACTCGGGGACAGAAGCACTTGTCTTCCCAGCCCAGGACCCACACAGACCCTCACGGGACACCTTGGATGATGAGCTCCTGAGGGCTATGTGCCTGACACCCTTCTTGTCACTCAAAACCACTCTGTGCTGAAATGAAAGGCTGGGTATGCCCAAAACAGAAAAAGAGATTTGAAGCCCACAGACATTCCAAAGGGACAATTTCAATGATATTGGGAGCGTGCTCCTATGGGATCACTTTTGGGGACATTCCACGGGCTTCCCACCCACTCCAGTGCCTCCAGGTGTGAGAAGTTGGGGTTGAGGGGACCCACAACATAGGGGTGCACGGCTGGGCTTGGGTGCCAAGCCTGCCCTCGGGGAGCGGATGGTTCAGCGGGAGCAGCACCCGGAGGCAGGGAGCCTGGCCATGAAGTGAGCGCCCACTGCCCTGCAGAGGCCGACCCGAGGCTCCCCCTGCCACACACGCCCCCGCCCCTTGCCTGCGAGTCCCCTCTGTGGGCGTACACCTTGCACAGCTGGTACCAGAACATGCCCTGAACGTGAGGCTCTTTCCACAGAGCAGTGCAGCCGTGCTGTAGGGCCTGGCTGTCCCCACCTGCTGAGCCCCTGGTGGCCCTACCCCAAGCTCCTGCAGAAGGGGCAACGTGCCCCACTCACATGGGAGCAGCAAAGAACTGAGCAGACGAAGGAACCGAGCACAGAGGACTGGTGTGGCAGGGCTGAGGTCCTGGGAGACGGAGCCCCTCACAGCCCCCTCCCCCCGCCCAGCACGGTCGTGCACAGCCCATCACCAGGTCTTTACACGGCTCCTGGAGGGCAGTGGACACCTCCTGGAATGTCAGGGGTCCTGGGTGGTGACCGGCCAGGCAGTCTCAGCAGACAGAACTTGACCCCTGCCTCAGAGACCACTGTGCCAAGCCTCGTGAACGGAGCTGGCAACCCAGCTGGTTCAGCTTGGAGAGCCGACTGGTCATATGGTGCAGCGAAAACCGCCTGGGCCTGGGCGTCGGGGCTGAGTCAGGCTTGGCTGTGCACAAGTGACCTTAGAGACACATTTACCCTCTCTAGGCCTCAGGTTCCCTTTGTGTCCCTCAAGGGGCTGCACTGGCTCCCTGATCTCAGGGCCCCTGTGGCCGCAGGCACCAGCAGAACTGGACGCAACCGGAGGCTGCCACGTCTTACTCACCCCTTGCTCCTGGCAGATCTGCGTCAGCCTCTCCAGCTGCTCATCTTGGATGACCTTGGCCTTCTCGTACTGCTGGATGACCATTCCCATCTCCACCTTCACAGGCAGGACATACGCTGGAAGACAAAGCCGCCCCGTGAAGAGCTAGGCTGGAGAGGGGCCGGATCCCGCGTTCGGCCAGCAGAACTCTAGGAGGCTCTAGAGCAGGGCTGGGGGCTGTCTGGGTGCCCGACAGCACCCAGAAAATGGGAGAGGCCTGGCTCCTAACCCACGGGACCTAAGGGAGGATCTGCCTTACTCCTGTCCACAGAGACGGACCCTCAGCCGGCCATGTGCACAGCTGCCCGGGTCAAGGGCTCTGCTTTCCAGTCTCTGCTGCAGCCATAAGATCACTCTGGGGATGTCGTGCAGGCGCTTCCAGAAGCCTTCCTCAGAGGGCAGCTAGGGCTGCCGGGGAGGGTGGGGTGCTGGATCCTCACACACTGCCCTGGGCGTGGAAAATGCCACAGCCACTCTGGACAACAGTCTAGCAGTTCTTCAAAATGGGAAACTAACAGTGACCACATAGCCCAGCAACTGCACTCTTAGGAACCTAAGAGATGAAAACACACGTCCACACAGGAACCCGTACATGAGAGTTCACAGCAGCCAACGTGCAAACTGCCAAAATGTCCACTGACGGTCGGCCCAGACCATGCGGCGTGTCATACAGTGGAGCACGACCCCCCAATGACGGGCGCTTCAGCACAGCCACCCTCCCACACGCCGAGTGAAGGGGGCCCCATAGCACAGGACCCCACTGACAGGAAACGGCTATCGGGACAGAGGACACTCGTGGTCACCTAGGGCTGAGCGTGGAGTGGGAGCTGACGGCTAGTGGGTGTGGAGTGTTTTTCTGGAGTCATGTAAATGCTCTAAACAGAGTTTGGGGTGATATTCACATAAGTCGAATTTAATAAAAACCATTCAACTGTGCACTTTAAATGGGTGAGTTTTGTGGTGCAAACTAGATCTCAATATAGATGTTTGAAAGCAAAGGCGGCTGGGTCTTTCCTGAGGCCTGTCTTCTTCCTGCCTCCCTCTTCCTACTGGCTGAAGCGTGTTGTGATGGCTGGCACGGGAGCAGCCTCCCTGGGCCATGACTGACTGGGGCGCAGGCTCTGACCAGCAACAGACGGGAGGAGTCCAGGATCCTGACTGCAGAGCGCACCATGCCAGCCCTGCACTGCCTACCTGCACACTTCCTCTGAGAGAAACACGCTTGTTTGAAGTCACTGTTATCCACTATCACAGACCTACGCTGAGACCAGAGGGGGCAGCCTGGATCTGCACTGGAAGTCCCTCAGTCCCCTCCCTCGGGAAGTCCTCTGGATTCTCCGGAAGTCACGGCACCAACTCCCAACCCATGTGGATTCAGGACTCTCCACGTCCCCTCCCACCCACAGCATCCCGACCTCCGCACATGCTCTGACTGTGCCAGGAAGAGAGACCAGGGCTTTCTACATTGCTTCCAAACTTGAGGGTGGCCACGTGTCCCTGACCCACCTGCAGGCCCAGAGGCTGCCCCATGTGGCCGCAGCCTCCTCCATCTCTGCCCGAGGCACAGCCCCACCGTGAGGCTGACGTGTCGGAGAAAAGGGACCAGCTGGGAAGGGCATTTACAATGAGGCTGTCCAGGCCCACTCTCTGAGGGTGTCCAGCTGTTCACAGCTGCAGAGATGGGCCGGAAGGCACTATTCCTGCCCAGGCGGGAGTGGATGTTCTGGTGGACAAGGGTGGGAGGTGTGAACAGCTAAGAGGGTGCTGGTGGCCTCCGGGGTCCTGGTGGCCTCCGGGGTCCTGGCTCCACCTCAGGGCCTGCTCTGCTGTGTGACCTTCGTCCTTCTTGGCCTCAGTTTCCCCATCTGTCAAGTGAGAGGAATGGACGGGATGATCTCTCAGAGCCTTCCCAGCTCGGGCCTTCTAAAGCTGGACCACAGCACATTCCAGTGTAATGAAGACTCTGGGTCAGGGGCTCTCTGGTGACACGTCAAACCTGACAGTGTCCCCAAGGGGAGACATGGGGGTGGGGACCAGGGAGAGGGTGCCCAGCCCAGGGGACAGGAGGCCCCAGCGGTTGTCCTTCCCTCATCGCGTCCACCGGGCACAGTCTGCTGGGATGTTCTCATGGCCATAGTTTCTGTCCCTCACAACCAAAAAATAAGGTCTGGCGTGACCTTGGTCTGTATGCAGTATAGGTATATTCAGCATGTAGTGTATGCACAGTCTACACATACACACCGTCTATCTGGGGAGTTCTGAAACTGCTCCAGAGGCCTAGCAGGTCCCTCAGGGTACCTCGGGAGAGAGGGCAGAGCACAAAGGGGTGGGCTCTGGGCCCCCGACTCCAAGTCAAAAGCAGCCTCACTTTCTATTTCAATCTGTTTTTGAACTGGGTATCTGTTCAAGATTTTGCAGACAAAAGGGCTTTGCTGGTAAAAAAAAATAAAAAGCCACAGAAACAAAAACTGAAATGCGTGAGAACTGCTATCTACACAACCTCCTTGTCATGCCTTGCCCTCCATTTGGTCACCTGGCCTCTGGCCTCCCATGTCCTGAGAGGTGGACCGGCCCGTCTGCGGGTGGCTCTATACCCACATCACTCTGCAGGGGTGTCGTTTCCAGTGCCTTCTCCCAGGTCTCCCTCCTCTGGGGACACACTCTCATCTGTCACCTCATTCTGGAAACATGTGAGCCACCGGATCAGGGCCCAGATCTCTAGGTGAATCGGCACAGATGAGAAGGCGGAGTGGATCCTAGCAATGGGACCGCAGATGGGAGCGTGTGCGAAGAGGCCGAAGGAGGTCTGTGCCGAACGCCACCCATGCCAGGAGCCCCCACAGACCCTGGCTGTTTGCAGGCTGACAGGCTTGGGGGCACCCAGCTTGTCCTTGGTGGACACAGGTGAGATGGACCCTACAGGGAGCAGTACCATGACCAGTGACCTGGACAAAGCCGGGGAGTCTGCAGGGGGTGGGTGGGCATCAAAGCACTCAGCCGTGAAGACCTGCTTTTCCAGGCGGCAGGCCCAGCTACCGGCTACCGGGTGAAGGGTTCCCACCCAGACAAACGGTGGTCACAGCGGACTCATGCGTGACCTCTGACCTCAAGTGTCTGCGCACGGCATCTGGGCAGTGTGTGAGCAGTTCCTGGACACTGGACACTGAATGAGCAGACACGCGCTTGGTTCTCTCCACGCCCAAGTCTCCACTGGCCACCCAGATGCTGGCTGGGCGGCCCCAAACCCCTCATTTCTCACTTCTCAGTTGCGAGCCCCGGTGTCTGGAGCTGACGCCTGTCACCGTACCACCCCACTGACTCCTTCCAGCCACTCACCATCAATGACCCTCTTCACCCGCCAGATCCGCAGCACAATGAGGAGGCTGATGGCGTCCCAGGGACTTCTCGGCCCGTTGGCCACAGTGGACGCCACCATCGGGGCCAAGGACAGTGTGATCACGGCCCCATCAAACACCTAGGAGAGAAGGTGGGCCTCAGCATCCAGGGCCAGCTGGACGTCCCCAGCTGGAGACCAGGGGAGGCAGAGCAGCTGATCCCCGCCACCTCCGCCTCCTGTGTGCCCTTCACAAGGCTCCCGGCCACCCACACCCTGGCTGCCTTCCCCAGGCGTGCTCCTGAGCTCCTTCTGGCAGGTCTCGCCCCTTCTCAGGAGGGGCCTGCAGACTGGCTGAAGCCCTCACGTGGGGGGAGGGGGGCCCTGAGGGCAGGCCCCTTTCCCCTTCCCCTGGGTAGCAGGAGTGCAAAGCCTCAGCTCATCTCTAGCTGTAGGGGTGGGGGTTGGGGGGGCGGTAAGAGAGGGGCCCAGCCTGTGAGGTTGGGCCTGGGTCCTGACCTGCCTTCTGCTGCTCCAGCCTGGCCTTGGCCACACCTCCACCGGCAGGCCCTGTCAGCTCCCAGCTACAGAGGCTAACAACACGTGGGAGCTGAGGCCGGAGTGGGACGGAGGCTGGCGCAGGGCCTGTACTATGAGCCATACTCCCGCCTGCCTGTCTGCTCTGAGAAGCATGAAAAGCGGTCAGCGCTCCGCTCAGCCCTCTGACCACGGGGCCACCGCAAAGTGCACTTCTGTGCTTTAAAACATACTTTACAGCTTCCCAGGTAATTCAAGAGTAAGTTAAAACTCTGCAGAATTTCATGGGGGTCACGTGGATGTCCCCTTGCTGGGAACTTCCTCAACCTGCATTCCACGCCCCATCGCCCCACACACTGGAGACCCCTGTGTCCACTGGGGAACACAGTGGCCTTCTTGGCCAGCTCCCAGCCTGGGATGGGTGGAACGGTGGCAGCTCTCAGCATCCAGGGGGGATGTCTAGGGTGGGGTGGGCATTGGTCTTTACCTCTATTTTGTTCTCGATGTAATCCCAGATGCCAAGCACCACAATCCGGAGCACAGTCTAAGGAGAGGACAGGAGACAGGAAGTTCCAGTCACTGCTCCACCCCCGCCCCCCCATAGGGGTGTCCTGGCCAATACGGGACACCGTACTCCCTACCCCTTTGCGTGCCCACCATCGTGCCAGCCTCTCGCTCCACACCCTCAGTGCTCCCAGAATAGATGGAAGATGCTCCAAATGCCCCAGAATGATGCTCAGCCCAGCCTCCCTCTCAGGTCGTCTCCTGCACCTGTCACACCACAAACCCCTTGCAGACACGAACACGCAAGCGCTCCCTTTTGCCTTGACACTGCGTGTGGCAGGCTGCCGCTGACTCCCTCCCATACCTCTTTCCTTCTTACACAGTCACTCGGCTTTGGCATGGCCCCCCAGCTGGAGACCCCGCGTCCAGCCTACCCCGCATCCAGCAGTGGCCATACTCTGGCTGAGGACTCATGAGCAGAAGCACAACGTCTGGGCTGAGTCCATCAGGGGCCAGGCTCTCCCTCCAAACATAGTTTGCATAGTCGTGGTGCTGAGCTGCCTCCAACTGGGGGCACTGGGCAGCAAGATGGGAGCATGCCACCACGTCGGCGTCACCTGCTTGTCCAACCAGCTCTCCTGGGAGACAGACCTGAACCTTGCCTATTGCTGTGTGGTGGTATTCTTGTCGCAGCAGCTTGGCCTGTGTGCTGCCCAGCAGGGCCCTCCCTCTGTCGCTACCTGGGGAAGGCCTTCCTGTCCTCCTGCCCTGGCTCCAGTGTCACCTCCAGAAAGCTCTTCCACACTGCCTGGGCGCAGCGCCTCCTCCCTGTGTCCCTACGTCCCTGGGGCATCACTTCATCGAGCCTGTGGCGGTTACCTGCCTGGCCCTCCTACGGCTCAGGAGACACCATCTGAGCCCCCTTTGCCCCCAATGCCTGGCAGAGCACACACTGCGATCTCACAAAAGCAGACGTGAGCACCACTCCCTAACAGCTTGGCAGCTCACTCACCGAGGACACTTTCCTCACCCCGAGGACGTGACAGGTGGTCCTGCACGGCCCTGGTGGCTTTCCGTGAGCCACTCACAGCAGTTCACTGCACTTCTCGTCACCAAGGCAGCCCCAGGACAGGCCCAATTTCCTCACGTGAAGCTGGGCAGTGTCGTGCCCAAGGCCACACAGCAACTTAGTGGCCAAGCTGGCTCCCTGTTGTGGACCTCTGGTCAGACACGGAGGGGACACAGAGGCACCCTCATCTCTCAGATCACAGAGCACAGAGCCACCTCCCAGCCTGTGTCTGATGACTGAGCCCCCAGGGACCCCTGGGAGGAGACGGTAGGCAGGAGGGGGACGCTCACGGACCCAGAACCTTGGGGTGGTTGCTACGGTAGAAGGACGAGGCCCTGGCTCAGTTTGTTCTGGCCGTGGTCTGTACCAGACACATGGCACGGGCAATGCAGCGGCCAGGCTCCCTCAAAACCAGGCACCGGGGAGGAGGTGGCCCTGATAGCTGGTGTTGAAAGAAGTCTTGATATACTGGTCCCTGGTCCTCCTCATCAGAGGAGTCCTCACACATCCCCAAACTCTCTAGGGAACAGAGTGGGGTGAGGGGGCCTATGAGACTGCTCTAGTCCCAAGGTCCTGAACCCCCGTGAGACGTGGAAGCTGAGTTCCGTCGTCAGGAGATCCCTGCCTCTCTGTTCACGCAGAACTCCCGTTACCCTATGTTACCCCTGTTACTCTGTTACCCCTTTACCCCTGTTACCCTCTATCACCCCGTTACCCATTACCCTGTCACCCTCTATTACCCTCTGTCACCTGTCACCCTCTGTCACCCGTTACCCTCTGTCACCCCTCTGTTACTCTCTGTTACTGCTTCACCGTCTTCGACAAGGTCCAAGGTCAGGTCAGGGGTGTTGCCATTCTCCCAGCCCCCCAGCTGTCCCGCTGAGCCTGGAAGGAAGCCCCAGCCCTTCCTGGCTGGGTGTGTGTGAGAGCGGGTGGGGATCTGAGACTGACATTCCTCTGCTCAGGGGCTTGTCTGTTTCAGGTGGCTTGTCTCTGTCTCCGGCAGTGACAAGAAGGGAATGCCAAATTAACACCAGGTAATAAATTCTGCAAAGCCAATAAAACCAAAGCAGAGGGACCGCGGGAAGAACCTCAGCAACTGATTAAACATTTTTGTTGGCAGCTACAGACACATGCACATTTTCCAAGGTTTGCATCAAGGGGACATCTGGCCTTAGCCCATATATTGGTGGGAGGGAACTGCGGTAAGGGAGACGAGGGGCTGGGGAGGGCAGGACCCTCAAAAGGGCAGCAGGCTTGGAGAGGGTACCCTGTTGGGGGCTGAGATGCCTCCAGGGCTATGATCTCCACGAGCTGGTTGGGACACCCCCTTATCTAGCCCCCAGCCTGAGCCTCACTCACCTACCCAATCCACGGGCTGCAGGACAACATCCTGTGCTGCACTGCTGTGACCAGACCCACAACCCACACCCACACCCAGGATTGTGGATGTCACCTGTGTGCATGTGAGCTGTGCTTGTGTCTGTGAGTCTGTGAGCGTGCATGCGTGTGTGCATCTGTGTGTGTGCATCTGTGGGCTGTGTGTGCATGTGTGTGAGCTGCGTGTCTGAGTGTGAGTCTGTGAGCTGTAAGTACAGGTGTGATGTGTGTCTGTGAGTCTGTGAGTTGTGTGTTAGCTGTGCTATGTGAGCTGTGTGAGTCTGTGTGTGAGTCTGGGAGCTGTGTGTCTGGGAGTCTGAGCTGTGCGCGTCCTCACTGCTCTCCCCGACTCCAGGCCCCGTCTCTCCCTGCTTCCTCACTAGCCACATGAACCACGTGCTGCCCCAATGACATCCCACTCAGTCTCACCTTCACATGCCAGGGCCCACCCCGCATGGACCACACCTGCTCACCCTCTGGGGTTCAGCTCAGGGGTCACCTTCTGAGGCCTGGCCTCCCTGCGGGGATGCTCCCCACTGTGTGTATCGGACCGTAGTCTCCTGTGCTGCGTCCCACTCTCTGGAGCCTCGAGGGGGCCCAGAGGCCTGACACTTGTGAATGTTAGAGGATAAAGCTTGGTGTCCCCAGGACAGGGGCTGCCCTGAGGAGAGGGTCGCAGGCCCAGTCTTCACCTACCTCTGAGAAGAACACGGAGAGAATGACCAGACTGACCCAGTGAATCACACCAGCAAACTGGAATGCGCTGGAAACTGCAACGACACAGTGACAGGAGCCAGCTTAGGAGGGGGACTCAGGCGCTACAGTACAGGGCTGCCCAGCCTCTGCGACCCGGCCGTGAGCCTTTGATCTGGATGACATCGAGCCAGAGGACACCAAGGGCAGCTTTCAGGGGTGTCTGCCATGGGGGTGGGCCGGGGATGCCAGCCTTCCTTCCCTCCATCTCCTCTGAGTTCCAGGTCTGCTCTTAAGCTCAATGGGCTCTGTCCTCCCAGAAAGGGGATCTCCAGAGGGAGCCTAGGGAGACACCGTGGCTTTTGGACGTGGGTGGGCAACGTGTCAGGTCCAGACGGGCTACTGGGAACCCCAACAGAATTCTCAGCGGGACCCGAGTGGTCAGTGGGACCGAGGAGCTTATTTTGACTTTTCATTCTTAACAGTGAGTGCGGAGATGGCGGTGTCCGCCAGGGTGTTTCAGAGAGCAGGCTGGGACGAGGACTGGGCGAGTCCTCCCAAAAGTGACAGAGCAAGCAGCTTGGGTCTGCTCTGCTTCCCAGTTGCTCCACTGGCCTTCCAGACACCCGAGTGGCCACCCCAGACAGCCCCCACCCACCTTCCTCCTTGGAGTGAAGGCACTAGCTCTGGAAGCCACGGCCAGCCTCCCATGCAAGTAGGGCAGTGTAGCAGCTGGCAGGCCCAAAGCAGGGTGCTAGGGCCCAGGATAAGGGCAGGTGGGCTTGGATGGAAAGTGGGTGGCAGGGGAAGTTCCCCGGAAGACAGGCCTAAGGAGATACTGGCAGTGCATCTGGGGCAGTGGGGCCAAACGGGGTGCACGTGTGCTGCTGAGAACACGTTGCCCTGCCTCGCTACTGGGCTCCAGCCCAGCCTGGTCAGCTGACCACTCAGAGTCCCCTGGGGGCCAAAGGAAAATGCCCAGGGCCGTCCAAGTGCTGGTATGGCTGCACAGCCTCCCCCAAAGCTCTGAGGTCGGGGAAGCCTGGGGGTGGCAGAAACCAGGTCCTGAAGCATGGGGAGCGGAGAATTTCAGGTCCCCGGCGTTGGGCCAATCTGACCCTTAAAAGACGAGCCAGGAGACACTGCAATTCTTCCTATCCTGGCCACGTGAATGCTAGTAGGGACTGAGGCCGAGTCCTGTGTGACTCTGAAAGGACCTCCAGATGACTCTGAACACATCAACTCTCCCCATAATTTCTGAAATGGATTCCTGTGCCTTTTTTACGGTTTGCTTTAGAAGAGCAATAAATCTGTGATTGTGCGTTTTATGGAATTTAAGATGCCTTTTATGAGCTGCTATTGGATCTCCTACCAAAATCAATCTCGTAGATACTTAATTTTAGGGGAAATTCCAGTGTCGGCCAGGTTCTCAGTCCTATTCAACGCCTGTCACAGCCCGAGCACCGAGTGCAGCCCAGCACAGGGAAACAAAGACGCCGTTACGGTCGGGCCTCATGAAAGGCAGATATATGGGCGTGTGGGAGGGAAAGCACACAACACGGTCTAATGGAAGGCAAGCTGAGTACAAAACCAGTGCTGGTCGCTTTCTGCCTAAAGACGCTTTGAGGGGCCATCAGCTGCATAGAGCCCAGCGAGGCTGACCAGACAAAAGCCACACTGTGCTCCCATCATCCTCTCTTAGAGTCGGGAAGGCTAGGGGACTCAAAAGGAACCCTGAATACAGAGGCTCCAGTAAAGGGACTGGGGACATTTGAGAAAATAGGTCCAAGACAACTGATGGGTTCCGGGGTGGCTGGATCCATGGTCCTGGGGAGGCCAATGGCAGGAGGAAACCTCTGGGGGGAGGACCAACACGTTCCTCTCTCTGTTGGTTGCACTTGAACGATCCACCTTCTGAATCAGGGCAAGGTGGGCACCAGGAGCTCTGCAGAACCTCTCACTCATCCAAAGCCAAGAGTCTTAACCCTCCCCGCAGTGCACCAAACAGAGTGGGAGGCAGTGGGCCCTCCACTCTGACAGCCATGGCGCCACGACATCCAGGAGGACAGAGAGGCAGGAGACAAGCCACTGGCTGCCATGAGCACTGAACCAGGACGACCACTGTGAGGCCCTGTGGTGGGAGGAGAACGGGCCACCGGTCAACGGCCTGGTGGCCATCAGTCCCAGCCCCAGTACCTCTCACCTCAGGGAGCCTCTCACTTCTCCAAATTCCCTTGTCTAAAAAATGGGATGACATCACCCTTGCCTATCTCACAGGAGTGCTGCTAGGGTCAGATGTACAGAAATGAGCTTTCTAAACTGTCACATTCTATGTGAGTGGCACCAACCACGTACACTGGACGAAAGTACAAGGAATCTCATTGTCACTGCCTATCTACTGTCATTAGTTACGGCAAGGTGAAACACCTCCACACATGGGAACTTTAAACTACAGAAATTCCAACCTGGAAAATTCCAAATGGGAACAATAAAGAAAAAAAGTGCATACACAGGTCCCCGACATTTCTGATCTCATCAGGTTTGGATCGTGGAATGCTGGGGGCACAGACATGGCCACATTGGGTGCAGAGGGCAAACTGATACTGGGGGACAGAGAGAGGAGCTGCCAAATGTCCTCCCTGGAGATGACCCCGAGGGCGGTGGGGCCGGCAGGGCGGGGGAGGGGGGGCAGATCACACCGCTGGTTGGGGACCCCTGGTGGATGCACATTGAATACGGACATCATATGTATTTGCATATGGATCTCTCTTGCTACTCACACTGGAGAAGCTTTATATCTATTAGAAGTTCCAGAGTCAGGAGAATCACCACCAATATTACACAGGCTACCAGGAAACTGTTGAGACTGGCACTGAGCAAAAATACCTGCCACACGGCCGATCTCTTCCCACAGCACGGCTTCAGCCAGGTGGACCTGTGGGAACAAGAGTGGAGAGGGTGCTGAGAAGGGGCCCTGCTCTCCAACCCTATGGCACTCCTCCCACCCGATGCTTCCCCAGGAAACACATCCTTGTCCAAGAGGCCACGGGGAACAGTCACGAAGAGAGCACAGCTCGTGAAGAGAGGGGCTCGGTTTAAAGGCTGACCTGGAGACACACCGCCCCTCCCTGTGCCTCAGTCTCCTCATTTAGAAAGGGCGTGAAGGCCACATTTTGTGGGCTCCTTGGACAGGGTAGTGGGGAGCCTGGCTGCACAGGGAGTGTGCCATGCAAACGAGCTGGGAGTTACACTCTGTGTAGCATCAGAACCACTCTGAGCAATGCACCATGAAGGGAAGAAGGAATTTTCAGTGTTTTCAGCTACACAGGAAAGAGCTGAACTATGCCCATTTCTCAAACTCACTGGCACAAAATGCTCGTTTTCCAGAATGCTGATAAAAGGTTTCCATGGTTGGGTAAGGTTTAGAAAATTTGGGTCAAACAAAGGTATGTGAATAATTTTCTCTGTGGGACCTTTCAGTGCCTTTAACATGCTATTCTGCACCATCATGCTCCAAAAGGGATTTTGGTATCAGTGTTGCCCAAACTCACTAGACCATGGCACCCTTGGACACCAGCACCTGGCAGGACTAGTGTTCCATGGACCATCTTTTGGGAACCCTGACTAGATGACCTTAAACCTTTACAGGTAGAGACGAGGTTACGAGGACAAACTCTCCCTGGGGAGGTTTGCAAGTGGGGAGGCGGGATAGAAGCTCACAGCTGGGTGGGTCTCCTAGGGCACAGGATCCTGGGACAAGGGGGTGCCTGTGAGGGGCCTGGGATGCTGAGGTCAGAGCTCACTGGCTCGCTGAGGAGCTAGGTATCCTGAAGGAGCAGACAGCACTGGTCAGGGAGGCCTCACGTCTGGCTTTGCCTTCATCTCCCGGGACCTCCGAGCTCTGGGCTTCAGGCTTCCCTTCTGCAGGACCCTTTAACCTCTAGGGTTGCTGAAGGTTAAATGAGAAAATGTGCTTGACCTGTAAAGCACCTTGTAGCTGACACAAACTGCTGCTGATGTTGATAAAATATTTGATGGCCCAACACGGGGCCAAGCCCTGTCCTTCCCACCCACAGGAAGCAGTCTGCTGGAGCCCAGTGCCCACCCCCTCGAAATCCCAAGGGCATCACTGGGAGGGGTCTCTGTTCTCCCGGAGGAGTACTGTGAATGCTTCAAGGAGGAGGTTCCCCCTCACAATCCATCCAGCGAATCTTGAAGGAGCCCCCAGCTGGTGGAATGTGAGACAAAGGTCGTGGCTCTTCGAGAAACCTGGCAGGAAACAGGCTTAGTCCAAGTCTTTCAGGATGTTTTCTAAGATCTCCAGGAATGAAAGGTACTGTCCTTGGTTGGGGGAAATGCAAAGATTGGAGTTCAGCCCCACCCCTGGAAGCTGGTCCCAGGAAGAATTTCACAGGTGATGCAGAAAGAGGAAGCCATTTTGGATGAGGAGGCAGGGGACTGACTGATGTGAACCCCACATGGCCTGGCTGTGTGGGGCACAAGACAAGGAGACCAGCTAGTCCGGAAGAAGAGAGGGTCCTCATGAAGGGGCAAGCAGGAAATGGGAGGACAGAGCAGAGTGGGGTCCAGGGCGCGAAGGCCCTCGACAAATGCCTTCGTGGCTCACTGTGGTGAGTTTCCAAGTTTTGTTGCACAATCCTCTCTACTCCCTCTCAGGCTCACGTGGGCCAACCTGCAAGCAAGAGGCAGCAGAGACAACCCCGAACTGACACCACACGGAGCTCAGCAGGTCGCCAGATAAAACGTGGGCCTCTAGCTCCATCTCAGATCAACAGCGACCAATGTGCTCGCATAAGCATGTCCCAAACACTGTGTAGCACATACTTACATGAAAACAATTCTTCATTGTTCGTCCAAAATGCAAGTGTAACTACACATCCTATATTCTTACTTGCTAAACCTGGCGACCCTAAACTCAGAGAACAGGGGTCTAGAGGGGCCTGCGAATCAGTCAGAAAGCGCGAGAACTCAGGGACGCAAGGGGAGAGGCAGTACCAGTGAATGAACGGCCACAAAAAGGCCACCAGGGGACGGGGTCCAGGGGAACCAGAGGCTGCTGCCCACAGGTGCTGTCGGCTGTGCTGTGTTGGTGCACGAAGGACCCTTCGAATTTTAAGATCTCTTTGGCTGTCACCCCTCAACTGACCTCCTCTCCTGACGCACCCGGGTGTCTCGCCTACTCCCATTCTTCTTTTCCCACAAGGTGACATTCCTGCTGCCGTCTGCTGGGCCCTATTTTAATCCTTCGCACCTCTCACCTGGAGTTCCGGCCCAGGCCCCGCCACCTCCTCCCTGTCACTATCAGGTCACAAAGGAGATCTAGCTCCAATTCCCCGCGCTCCCTAAAAAACCCAGTCCAGTTGTCTGTGGCCCCTAAAACTGATGCCATTTCATTGTCACCAGAAGTTTGAGCCACGCATCTTTGCAGTTACAAATAAGAGGGGCAGCTGTGCAGGCCATCTGCCGGGGATGGCGTCCCGTTGAGCGTCCCATGTTTAGGTGTCAAGGGTCCTTATCCACGATCTGAGGCTGCAGCCAGGGGCCCAGCAACGTGAAGCAGGACGGTGACCCACGGCTCCAGGACTGAGCTGGATGGGAGCAGCAGGCTCTTTGCTGGGCCTGGTGTTTGCAAACCCTAAGCTGCTAGTAAAATGTCCTCTGAAATTCAAATAGCTCAGGCATTCCTAGGAGACTGTTTTAGCTGAAAAACAGAATGCGTCCACTTTTACGATATCCCTGAGTGGTTAAATGATGACTGAAGGGGCTTAAAGAGCCCAAGAGAAATCAGCGTGCCTCCTCAATCAGAGAAGGTGCTTCCCTCAGTCTTCAGCATCCAGGCCATTCAAGCCTGGCGGGCGGTGCCATCCCCGGAAAGGCCAGCAGAGGGCAGGTGTCTCCCAAGTTCATATCTGGGTGCGGCAGGAGGGGCTGCCCCAGGAGGCCACCTGGGCTGCCAACGGCCCAAATGCCAACGAGCAGATGGCAGCGCTCAGCAGGTAGGTAGTGTTCTACCTTGCGGTTCCACTAGTCACTCCCGAGGCTGCAGAAAAATCTGGGGTGGGAAGGGAGGCTAGATGCCTTGACTGCTTCTGCTTTCTATTCTGAGGCGTCTTGATCCAAGCGTGAGGGAATACTTCTAGAATGTGAAAACAAACTTTGGCAAATTTCTGATGAAAAGATGCAGCTCGGGTTGCTGCCCCGTCAGGCGGCATCCCCAAGCCTGGCGCTGTAAGGGGGCAGACCCAGCAGTGCCAGGATGGCAGGGGCTGTCCTCCCACATCCAGCAATGCATTATGTGGTCGGGCTGCTGTGGCTGCCAAGCCAGCGAGGCTGGGAGGGGCCAGTGTCTCAAGCACGGGGACTGTCGAGACCCTGGAGATGCCCAAAAAGATGCTCACAGACAATGGAGTCATGGTGTCCACAGCAGAGGTAGCGGGCCACAGGCCAGATGGCCCAGCCAGGCCTGCCCTGAGATGCTCACCCAAAAAGTCCCCAAAGGAAGGAGTGGAGGGTGGGGCTCGGAGTGAGTCAGAAGCCATCTGGCAGCAGGGCACCGGGATGGCCCACCTGCCCGGTGCTGACCGTGGGCAGCACTGCTGGACCAGAGAGGCTCAGCTGGGTTGCAGAGTTCTCCTACAGAGAACGAAAACTACAGCCCTCCGCCCTAAAGGGCACAAAACCACCACACTATACGTAATGTTACAAGGGGTATCTGGACCCCTGAACCTCACTGATGGGTCATCTGAGGACACCTGTCCCCCAGGTTCAAACCCCAGCACTGGGGGTGAGTGAGCAGCCTTGGCCCTGGAGGCTGCACGCCTGAGATGCTCATGTGGCCTGGACGCCACAGGCCCGGTGATGTCAGCTGTGAGCAGCAGGCCCCACGGCCCCACCCTACTTTCTTCACTGTATTCATGCCAGGTGATTAAAATACTGTCAGAGAAAGCCATGAGCAGACTCAAATCCAACTTCTGGCCTTGACCTGGGCTTTATTTTTACTGATTTAACAAAACTCTGAAGGCACTCACTGTGAACCAGGAGCTGTTCTGAGCCCTCTACAAACGCTAGCTCATCCAGTTGTTTTAAAAGACAGTTCTCTGCTGACAAACAGTGAGGAGACGCCAGACTCTTCCGTCTGTTTGGGTTTTGGTGGCAACTGGTGACTGCAGATCTCAGCCCAGCACCGACTGAAGTCTGAACACAATGTCTGAGCCTGATTCCTAGTCCCTGACAGCAGTGCCAGGGCCTCGGCAGGGTCGCTGCTCTACATTATTGAAAACAGTGTGTGTGAAGCCCATGGCGCAGTGCTGCCCCACGGCTACACGCTCGTCTCCTGGGAGGGTCAGGCACAGGCAGGGCAGCAGGGAAGGGACGACGCCACATCCGCTCTGCCTGCACACAGGCACCCTGTGCCCACTAAGTGCCAGGGCTGAGCACTGCGGGTGGCAGGGCCCCACCCTCGCGGGCCTGCAGCCTTGTCAGTGAGTTCGGACTGAGCTATGAGCTCCAGGTCCTCGTCCACTCTTGAAAAGCAGAACACGCAGGAGAAAAACACCAGAGGGCAACAAGCTCACGTGTGCAGGACTTCTCCACAGAGACAGAATCCCCCATGAGGACCACGACCCAGCACCCACAGTGGGTGCGGAGAACTAGAACAACGGGAAATGCACGGTCAAGCATCCCCTTGTTCTCATACCCATTTCCGAGGCAAGCCACAGCAGCACACACAGTCCCAGGAATACGCGATGCCTGGGGACCCCCAGGCCCCAGAAATTCAGCTCACTTTCCTTGGGGGGCCTGGCCCTGGGATGAACCTGTCCTCCCAGGTCCAGGCAGCTCTCAGCACCCAGCCCAGCGGTCACAGGCGCTCTGCAGCCATCTAGTGGCCACCCTTGGAGGCACATGTGCACCTGG